ATCGCCTGTAGTAGCTGTCATTTTTTACTTCAGATTTTCTAAAGGTTATTCATGCCAATGCAAACTTTTTTTGCAACAAATCGTCAGCCCGTCCGATCCTTATTACTTGACCAACAGAAACTTCTGATTTAATGTCTGCAAAGGCTAGTTTATTATGTACAGGTTTCCGTTTATAAAAAATGAAATAATATTATTGAGTTGATCTAGAAGCTAGATTAAATGTTGGATGTAGAGGTCATTCGTGAGTTTTTAACATTTCTGCGCGGTTTTTACTGTTACGGAGTGATTTACTTTAGAGTTCCATGATTTCCTGCTTACTTTTAGATGAGGTTATTTAATAATGGAAAATACCTTCAGTTTTTTACTGAATTTTCTTATTTGTGGTACAGGAATGTTCATTGGTTAAACTGTTCTAAAATAATATTTTAGTTACTCCTTACTGTCTAACATTGAGCTGTTTTTTTAAAAGAAATTAATCTTACCACATGTGTATGTAACAGTTATTTCAAATTAGAAAGAAAAATATTGAAGCAATTACAAAACCATGTACTTATTCATGCTTTACTATATCTATATGTGGTGAAAAATTATTTACAGTTTGGTCTAAAATTAATCATGAACTTATTCCAAGTATTAAGACGTTGAAACTTAGTTCAAAGCAACCTTGTGATGTACTCGAAGCTGATGAGGTGGTTTTGTTTGAAAGAGCAACATTTTAGAGGTCGCTTGCCACTCTAGCTTTCCACATTTTGATCTATATAGGTAAGTGATCAGTATTGAATTCTCATAATGACTTCATAATTTTGATTTGAAGAGGTAAGCAACATTGTGAAACAATTCAAACTCTCGTGTAGTAAAGTTTCAGCGAATTTCACGAAGATCGAAATACACAATCAGTACTTTGTTGCATTTATTAACGTTTTTACATCTAATACATAGATTATGGTAGTGTGCTCTAATTTATTCGTCGGTATGTTTGTGGAGTTCATAGTATTTCTTAGCTTCATCGTTTATCACTATTCTTATTCTTTATTAATCGATGGTAATCTATATTAAGTAGTTTTCTTTGTACTACGTAAGTGTGTGATTTTATTTGCGCGGTTGCAATCTGCGCAACCTAATCCTTCGATTCACAGCCAAACAATTCAAATCATTGGTTAATCACAGCTTCACACTAGTCTACTAATCTTATGTAATTTTTCGGGGTTGGATCGCTAACCTGTAATATAAATCTAACAATAGTGACGTGATGGACGACATGCATACAATTGCAAGTACGATCATAACCGACATTGTTGTTATCACGTGTTATGATCAGAAATTTTCCAATATGAACCATTAATTTATTTCGGTGGTTGAGATCATGAGTCAATTGATTCTTTGTAAAGGAAGGAACATCTCACGCTTCACTTTTATGGGTTTAATGAAATAAACTTGGGTTTTATGAACAATATTCCTTATTTAAACAGTTATCAGAAGCATTGAATTTACAGTAACTGGTAAAATCAAGTTTTGTATCTTATCCACCTTTCAGTCAATGTACATCTACTGACTGTATCTGGATTTTATTAATCACATTCTACGTTTTATGCATAAGTTGAACTCTAGATACCAAATGTCCAGCCCATGAGGAATGTCACCGACCATTTATTGCATGTAAATATGTTGGTTAATTCTGTTTATATTAGTCTGAAACATTTAGATCTTAACTTGTTTGTGCTCTTTACGGACATTATGGAATTCGGCAACTTGTTTCGTCTATTTAAACTTCACAACGTGTACTAAAAGATTGTGGATCACTTCTATTTTCTATAACCGTCCCTAATTTTGTCATAATTACAAATTTTGTAAATAATCACAAGTAAATGTCAAGTAAAAAAAATCTTTGTTTAATTATAGTAGTTAAATAGTAATTTTTAACTGAATTCTATCTGATGTAATCCGGTTATATGTTGATTGTTTTAACTTAATACTTATCAAAACCCTTCAGCGCCCTCCGCGACTTTGCTGAGTATTCGAAATGCACGTAAACACTTCGAATATTTTGAAAAATAGGACAACCACATTCGGCAATAGCTAATTGGGTTTAGACAATTGCTCGGATCGCTTGATCGTATAACTCTCAATACAACACTACTTTCCAATGCAAAATGTCAACATTATAGTATCGGGAACGTGTTTTCACCTAGGATGCAATTATTACAATTCGCCATTTGTTTTACAGTTTTATTTTGATCCCACTAACTGCGTTATACACTTTTGAGAAATTATAATGATAAACAGGAGGACGCTTCATCTCCTTCGTTGTACTAATGCTGTGGTGTGAGCTGCTTATATTGATATGAGTAGTATATGACGTGAGTTAAAAGAACGTGATGTCTGGCAGCAGAAAATGGGGAAGATCAAGACAGGAAGAGCGAGAACACAATGGAATTTGTAAGAAAGCGCATGAACAATGGAATGGGAGACAATGGATTGGTGTTTGCAACAGAAACAGTCCAGTTTGGTTTGATGCATGAATATTTTGCAAATTGACAATTTACTATATGGTATTCAGATTTTATTGAGATAGTCTGTAATTGTTGTGTTAAATACATTCGATTGTTCCCACCCGTGTTCTTGTTCACTACAATACCACTGAACGGAACATTGTCCAGGTGCATGCATTAACCATACCATTTTCACGCTTGACTGTTGTTGTTCATTCTTTACTGTTGTCCAATTCTTATCCTAATATTTAGCTCTTAAAAATGTTTGACGGAATGCTCATCATTTATCATAAATTTTTAGCACCATTCATTTTTATCGAATTAACATAAAACTCACGTTTTGATCTAATTCCCCATTATTAACATAATTCCAAGATAATTTGGTTGATGTGTATATTATAATCTCTAAATACATTTTTACGAGTTATTTTATCAAAATTATCTTTTTGTAAATTCCTATAAAACTTTGATTATAAAGTTGATTATCACTGTTCACTTTTTATTACATTAACAAATAAGCATTGTGTTCACTTGAGACATTAACGTACGAAAGACGCAAAACATACAGATGGTTACTCTAGGTAGTTATTCACTGCTCTTTGAATGTTCAAAAGACCAGTTCGAGATGGAAATTACTATCAAACAGACAATTATCTTGAAAGAAGAATTATGTTAAGAGATTTTCATCGCATTCCCATAATTTAAAAAAATTATTATCAATATTCGTCTAGATAATGCTGATCAAGATATTTGATTAGGAAGATTCAGCGCTCTTTGTAATTCCATTTACAGGTAGTGTGGGAACGATCTTGATTTTGGTGGGGCTTCAAATCTGCGCCATCATCTCAATGTTGGTGATTACAAGTCTTGAGTAGGTCATGAAAATATCTACTAAACAGGTTGATAGATTGACTACTCTCTCTGCAAACTAGATACAGACATTCCCTAGCAGATGCTAATTGAAGCGGATTGGATTGAATGTTTTGTGCATGAATGGTGTTCTCAGTTTTCACTAATGCAAGTATATTTCCAGTAACAGATTCAAATCCCACGTACCGACTAAATTTCAGACTGCGCGATTTGTTCATTCATGTATGATCGAAGAATACAAGACACTACTACATACTAGTGTTGATGCCACTCTGAAATTTAACATTTGTGGAAATATTCTGATGAGAGACGGACAGACCTTTTATTGACCAAAGATCTTATCCACAAAAAACTAATTTAAAAAAATGTGAGTTAGCTAGTTTTCAAGAGTAAATTGAGGAATTCGAGACGTAGTAAAACTTCTGTTTATGCTAATCGAGACGAAATAGGATAGTAGATGATTGCGTTGTATCACAGGGTAGTGGAGCGTTCTAAACCGAATAGAGCATTTGTGATATGACGTTGGATTTCATCTGAGTAATTGATGTTCTTAGGTATTTCATGAAGTGTAATCGTGGGGTTTGGGGAGAATTATCTTATACAAGATGTGAACCACTCAGTAAGTTGTACAAAATCACTAAATGGTTCATAAGTATTAAGTAGCCCAGCAAGGACAGTACTAGCTCGTGAAGTCTGTCTTTTTATTTGTCCCTCAATTTTGTGACACGCTTTGTTGTACGCCTTTGTACCATAAGATTAAATTCCTTTTCAGTGAGAAATGAAATAACGTTGTACGTTGTCACATCTTATTGTATCTATCAATTTACATATGTGTGCGGAAACACATACATAGGGAGGAGCAATTAAAGGTGGGTGAACACATACGAAAATGGCTGCAGAAACAAATGAATTGCAGTGGTCAGCTAAGATCACAGGATAGACAGACATCGTCCTTCATTCCGAAACATATGATTGAGACTGGTCATAAGGTTGACATCAAGTCAGCATTTGTAGTGTTGCATAAAAACCTTCAAGGACGTATACTAAGGTTAATTGAAGCCTTGGCGATGCAGAAACTGAAACTGCCTTTATGCGTTTGAAAACACTTTGTCCTTACATTGAATCTACCCTGGTAATACTGATTTATTATCCAGAGTGGTTATCACATTGGTTTTGTGAACTTTATTTTTTTATTTGTTATGGCTTACATCTAATTTGTTTAGTTGACCTTTTCTTTTTCATACAAACATGTCTCAACAAGTACATGTGTGATCAGGCTGTTCGAAATGTATTGCGCAAATAAATCACATAATTCTGATAAACTTCGTCTTCTCATTACATCATCGAAAGTTATCAAAGGGACTAATTGTTTCAAATAATATTTCACATTTAAATTTATTCTGTGGTGCACAATGTGTTGAGAGATAAGCAAGACGGCGACCAAATTCCTTATGTCTAGCATTGCAAATCACACTTTTTACTGATGATAAATAGAGTGAATATCTGTCTTATACATCCGTACAGTTTATGCCTGAAAGTATGACAAGTCGCAAAAATACTAAATGTTTCGTAACGGAATACATATTCCAGTATAAGTTAAGTTCTTTGTTCAGAAATTATATTTACAATAGGATGTATTGTTTATTTATGTAACTCAGATAATGCATCAAGTAAGTTGGCTTGTGAAACAAAATCTTGTCTTGCAATTTGAGCCTTCTGTTTAGCTAATTCCAATAAATTTTCTAGATCAGCACCGCTGAAATTTCAAGAAAGAAGAAATGTGTTGTTGAAGCAAAAGAGGATATTTTTTATCTTGAAAAAGAAATCTTGCAAGGATACAGTCTAATTCATTATTTCCCTTAATAAATCAATATTGAAAATGTTGAACTGATGTTTATGGTGCGAACCTAATACTGGAACACAAACAAGCAAAAAATGTTGGCTGTACGTTAGTCTGCTCGTTTCGTCGCCATTGATATGCTGTCCGAACTGAGGTTGATTAAATATAATACGAATGAAGTGACTGACAATCTAGTGTCGAAGTATGCGTTGTTGTAAAATAAATCTGAAGCACGATTTTTGTAACGACCACATGAGTAAATTATTAAAATAATCTTGGATTGTTACACAAGATACTAAGAAAACCTATGCATTTTTCTCCGTTGTTATGCTGCATAGGTCGTATAAGTCCAATGACAGGATCTTAGGGTAATAGATTAGTGTAAGCCTTTCTTATGTAACTGATCTTTAGTCTTATTGATGTAAGTAAAGTAACAGTGTGGACTTATCAATTACATATAAACAAATACAATGACGAACAATTTTTTAGTAAAAGGAAACGATAATCCGTTTAAACTCATTAGGAACACATCTAAAATGTCTAGATAGTTGTAAATTTGGTGTAAATTGTATTGACTGTAACCCTTTTTCACGTGAGGTTTGAAATTGGAAAGTGGTAGTAAATAATAGACATTCTGGACTTATAAACACAACATAACTATTCGCTAGAATAGACTATGTTAGATTACTTTAAAACGGATAAAATTGGAAAATATCTCGTAAAAATGAGATTAGTTTCATGAAATTTAAATACCTCATTCTCTCAGTGCGTGAATCATTTGCAATGAGTTCAAGTGACAGCATACCATTCTCAATACGAGGAGTAGTTGCAGACCGAGTACAAGCTGATAAAACAGAGAGACGTTCTTTCACATTAGACGGTGGGTTGATCATCAAATGTAAGCCCAGACGTCCAGGACGAAGTATGGCAGGATCAATCATATCTTTGCGATTAGTAGCACCAACAACAAAAACGCGACCTGATCTATGTTTGTCAATACCATCCAACTCAACCAGAAGCTGATTAACCAAACTAACTCGACTGCCTAAGTGAAGATAGAATATCAGGATAAGCAATAAGAATGAAATCATAATTTCAAAAAGGAAGGTTCCAGTGAAATCTATTGAGAATAACTTTTAAAATGTAATCAGTTTACACGTCACAAATCAATGACACAGTTTCATGCTCTATCACAAAATCTTTATCTGTACTTGATAACATGGTACGAAATTTCGTTGTTTCTAATTGGTTATTGAGTTCATTTGAAATTATTTACAACCAATCTCCAGAGTTATTATAAACTACAACGAAACTAAAAACAATCTCACAGCTTGTGAACTATTGAAAAACACAAACAAAAATAAAAAAGCATCAAAATATTAACCAGAAATTAAGCAAGAACATCTACATTGATCACTGACTAAGTTTTGTCTTATTTAGAGGATTATTAGAGATTTTAGTATTGGATCCTTTTATTTATTCAAACACAAGGAGGCACCAAATTTATTTGCGTCATTTCATTTGTGCGAGGACTGAAATGCTGTCTGAGCGCCTAAACCGAAACAGGATTGGATCCTTTGGATTGAATTGTCGGATTCTGAAGCTTAAGTCAACAGTCTTAACATCATCAACACATACTATAGAGGAGAGTTTTTAGAATTTCTTGATTGATAATTAAAAGCTTGTTTTGTGAACACAGGATTTAGTTGGTTGTTGGTCATAATTGTGCTTTCACTGTTCCCATGTATTTATTTTATTCACCTTTTTCTCTGACCTGACCTTTAGGCTCTTAATTGTTTATAATTCTCGAAGTACGTAATTGTGTTGTCTAGAAAGACTGTGAAAGCTCCGTCACTACTATCTAAATCAAAAAAGGTGAAATACTCTAAAAATCCTTCTTCCTGAGTTAGAAACCTTTATCATCTTAAAATAAATGATTAAAATTTGATACATTTGCACAAATTCAATCCATATCAAATAAAACATTTGAATACCGGTTTAAAATAGTTTGTGATTATTAGAAAAACAATATCTTTATACAACTTGAGTGGTTGTTGTACCAAAGTTCAGTAACCCTACAGCTTTTTACCGATTTGCTTGAAGGTCGGCAAATTAACGAAAGTCTTTAGATTAGAAATATATAACAATCTGAAAAGTCGGTAATCGTTTATACATTATACTTGATATGAAACCTAAGAGTTTTATTTAAATTTATTATCTAGATAGAATGAAGTACAGAATAATTAGAAACCATTTGATTTCAAGATAATATTATTCCGATTAGATTCCTTGATTACTGAAAGTTAATTTTTTCATTAACTCGTAAAGTCAAATCAGTCTAATGAAATTATATTCTATAGGCAAATAGAGAATATGAAATATACTACAACCAGGAAATATTTGAACGTAATTTGTTACAACTTTACACCTTCACACTTATGTCAAGTACTTTGAACTTGGTAAAAATATGAAAAATCAACTTCACTATCTCACCGAAGTTTTGAGCGAATGAAGAACGAATGAACAGTAGACGAAAGATAGTTCAGTCATTTATTTGATTTGCTTTTCATTTAACATTTTCATAGATTATCAAATCATATTGATGATAATAATCAAACTTTAAAACTATTATATAGATCGAATAACTATTTTGTCATTCGATTTTTTCGCTTATGTTTACGATGTATCTTATGTGTTTTTGTTACTCAATGTACCCGCAGTTTGCTGGTCGTGATCGAAATGTATCAGTTAATGAGGAAGTTTCGAAATATATTGAAAGTGTTTATTATCAAGGTAATAAAATTACTTTCATTTATATTTAATACTAGACGTATCAAGTCAAAAAACTTATGAACAAGCAAGGAACTAACCGCCAACACTCAGGATTTATACTAAAAGCTAAACAAAATTGTGTTTAAAAAAGTTTTCAATAATTCGGTCGCAAATACATGAATGATGAAATTGAAACATTACCGAAGCCTATACAAGTGATTGTTAGTATGTGTTAACAGCTCATCCAAAATGACAAAAATTGAGCTGCAATGAAATTGACGGAACTTTCTAGGGAATAGACGAGAGTGATGAACACTATCATTCGTCTTTCAACTAGCGTGCTGGAGCTCAGTGATTTAAGCATTTAACTGATCCGAATGTCACTCTATCAACTTTGTGTTTCCAGGTTAGTAGTAGCAAAAAGTGCATAAAATGAGTAAATATGTATTTGTTCATTGCCATATTGTTAATTATTTTACTAAGACTGTTATGATAGTGAAAAAATCTAGATGTTCCTAGTCTCGGACAATTGTTGATTTAAAACTCGAATGTTTAAATGGCTAAATTACACAACGTCAAGCTCACGATTCATATGCGAAGAAAGAAATACTTCGTATTTATTCGACAAAACTTCGGGCGAAATTTCATAATTCAAATTTACTTGGAAAGATTGGGGAAACATGTACTGTTATAGTAAAAAAACGTCTACCAGAAAGTGAATATTCAGTTACCTGTAGATTCGTCACTATCGCGTCTTGGACAGATTGCATCTATTTCATCGAAGAAAATCAGACATGGTTGACAAGCACGTGCTCTTTCAAAGATTTCTCGAATACGACGTTCGCTTTCACCTTGGAATTTATTAAGGACTTCTGGACCTTTAACCGACAGGAAATTGAGACCAGCTTGATTGGATAGAGCTTTAGCTACGAGTGTTTTCCCACATCCAGGTGGACCCTCAAGTAGTACACCTCCAGAACGTCGATGCAAAACCTGAGCGCGTTCCCAATCGTCGATTAGAAGCTATATACATTCGTAACAGGAACTAGTTACTTATTTGCTAATTAGGTAGTGATATATAAGAGGGATACAGTTAACTTCTATACAGTTTTCAGTTATGGGCTAATGTTAATTAAATGATACGAAAACTTAGAAATTAAATTTTTATGACTATCTAGGGCTAATCTATTGCAGTTTATAAGTATAACCGATTGGAATTATTATCGATGTTTGCCAAACAGAAAAACTGGCAGTTTAATATCCAAGGCTTGTAACTGACCCAATTTGTACTGAAAATGAAGCTCTTCACGTCATAAACGAATAAAACCTGTACGATCGACTTCAGTTATTTCTTACTTCATTCATTTATATTCTACAAATGCGACAATTCGGTGTAATTTACTAGATTTTTGCAGCTTTTTCAAACAATCAAGGCGACCGATTCGAGATATAACCAATATGACATAAGATTAAAACTTTTATAAACGTAGATATAACATCAATTTTCTCACCATGAAGCGATTGTATAATTGTTGTCTAGTTGTTTCGAGACCACCGACATCAGCCCAAGTCACATCCGGAATAGTTACAAATTCAGCAGTATTCTTAACTGCTGGAATGACAACAACCAACGCTTTGTCAACAATTTCTCTTGTTACGATTAAAGGATATGTGACGCGTTCCTAAAAAGAAGGCAAACGAATTGAAGTTCTGTACAAAATACAACTTGTCTGAAAAATTCGGATTTATAATTCGACTTTTTTCCATGGGAATTATTTATTAAAAACAGGATACACTATTAGCAGCTAGAGTATCACAAGTCTAGTTAACCTGAAAATCTTGTTGAAAATAGAATGGTACTTATGTTAATAAGTGACTAGCTTATTAACATAACCGTGTTACAAATGCTTAGGTCAAAAGATGTACAAATTACTGAAATATTTTACAGCCAAACAATATTCTCTTTGAATTCCAATTACCACAGAAAGCAAACACAATAATAGCCTATGGATTAAAAGCAAACACAGGTCGAAAAATAATTACTTAAGTATTCTACGGATGCTACTCTTATCGTACTCAGTAATATTGTAGTGAACGGAGAATTGAAGGCGGGAAACCACTTTATTGTTTTATGGAAAATCATACACTAAATACATCATTTGCATATCGTTCTTCAGTTGCCTTTTACATACTGCATCATTCTTCTAATCCCGTTTGTTATTCCGATTGCTCTATTTTCTTTGCTCTTTTTGTTTTAATTTTCTGCTGGTGAAAATTCCAATTCCTGCTACATACTACTTATGTCTGTCCGTATAAGTAGATCAGACCACACTATAAGGTGCACTAAGACACCTAGTTCAAAGTAGTTGGATTACTAACAGGAATCAGAAACTTGTTTAGATGCACACAAAATCTTATAACTAATAATACGAAAAACAAACATGAATTCAGGCACCAGATATTCTAAAATGAACAATAATCTCATGCTATTAAGAACATCTTCAGCAGAAGTCAGTTCGTATGTAAGACCGTTTCGAATACCTTATATTTGCAAACTCCTGTTGCATCCTTGACATCTATGAAATTTGTGTTGTAAAATGTATAAAAAGTATTTCAATTTTGAGTACCTCATAAATAAGGGAAGAAGAATTTCTGTATGTCTGCTTGGTGAAACAAAACGAAACTAGTCCCATTATAGATCATTGGTTCTGAATAAATTGTAGAAAGTGTATTAAAAATAAGTTCGGGCGTAGAGTTATGACACCTGGTCAACATAAATAAAAATGATATCCAGTTACTTACGACCAAGTATCTCAGTGAATTAACGATACCAAATACTTTATAGACAAATGTTATGTTATGTATCTAGCAAACTATATTTTATGAACAGACGTCAGAAGTGACACAGAGAGTTAATACATTATCTCCTAACGCAGTATGAGCATACACTTAAGATGAACTGTAAATTTACCAAAAGTTGTATAAGAGTAATAGCGAATAGTATTAATACGCAGTAAACCGAGGGTTGTTGTTGTTGACTAACTACAGAAAACCACGGATACAAAAAATCTAAGAAGAGCTACCTTTTCATAGAAACAACCCAATTAAAACAAATGATATACATGAGGAAACATACCGAAACAGAGTTATCAGCGACACGCGACTCAATGGAGAAATTAACATGCACCTTTTGACCATTCTTAACACACTCCATACTGTTAGTATCAAGATTATTCAAGTTGTCATCAACATCATCATCATCATCGTTAACATCATTAAGTTTACATGTTAAACAAGCCATTTTTAAATGGGCTACCAGACGAATTAAATCTCCAATTTCATAACCAGGTGTTCGACGGGCTAATTCAAGACATGTTAAGTTTTCACTGAGTTGTAGTTGATTGGAATTAGAACTTACTGGTTTCGGTGAAATAATAAGATCAGTATCATCTAACAAGTACTGCTGCAACAATCTAATATGACAGAAGCAAAAGTAGACAACATATTATGAATGGATTGAAACCAAAACGATGATGAGCGAATAGTGCCAGCCGACACTGGCCTCTAATTGTCTTGGTACAGACCGAAAGTGAGAAGAGCTCGATCTGCTGCTGGGAATGCTTGCGTACGATCATGCATTTGTAAGCTCTACCAAGTGCTTCCACGCGATGAGAGTATTATTTACGAAATTGAAAGGACAAAAAAGAATGAATGGCGCTGGTGAATACAGAGGGTATACTCAAGTGAGTTGGAAAATCCTGATTCTAAAACAGTAATTTTCATAGGCCCCAAAACTCAGAGGGAACGAACTGCGTGTGAATCTATTCCTGGTCATCAACTACTATACGATAGCATCTCATGATATTGTTCCACTACATATTGAATTAGACATTTGAAGAAGAGTCATGAGACATGGCTTCCTAAGGGAGCTAGCTGTTTTCGTTTAGGCTTCCATGCAGCAATCTAACGCACACGCAATATTTAGTGTGGCGCGCATTACTTTTTAACTCTACCTGTGGCTCCTTTAGGGCTACTGCCGGTCTCAAGCCAACACAAAGGAGCAGGGTTGAGCGTGGGGTCTGCAACCCTATCCCGTAGAAGAAAATCTTGCTAAAAACGCCAACCAGAATGAACGAATTAAACTATTTAAACTCTGCCCTTCACGTTGGAGGAAGAATTATGACGCCTCAGGATTCGGAAGCCACAGGGCCGATGCCCATTCTAACAACCGCAGCAACAAGTTTAATAGGTAAATGGAACGTCCGGACAATGTGGGAGACTGGGAGGACCAGTCAAATAGCAACGGGAATGAGGAGATACAAATCGGATTTCGGAAGTGCCGAAAGATTGGAAAGGAGGGTATCCCATCGCGATAACAAAAAAGGAGATCTGAGCAAATTTGAAAACTACGGAGTCATTCACAATACTGTCAGTATCAAAGAAGAGTTTTAAATGGAGTATTGCTGAACCGGATGAAAGATTCGGTAGACGACCAACTTGGAGATCAACATGCTGGATTCCTTAAGGATCGATCGTGTACAGACTAAATTGTGACAATATGGATCATTGCTGAACAATCAATTGAATGGAACGAGAATGTGTCTGTATGAATGCGTCAATATTGTTTCTGGGGCATATAGAAAACTGTTCTAGAGGACCGGGACTCTTTCTTCACAAATTAAGGGAGGTACACCAATGAGTGATTGAATGATATAATGTGTAATGTTAGCTTTCGATTTAAACATTTATCCTAAATGTATTCTATCAAATGAAACAGTTACCGGAACGTGATTGACTTCCTTTTATCAAACTTCAAAATCATAGCATAAGCTGATGAATATCACTAATTAGTAAAGTGACTGAACAATACGGCAAACTAAAAAAGATGCACACAGTAAGATTATAGACATTTGACAGGGGTATAATATAGATATTTCTCAAGGTGATCAAACAGTGGCGGAGTGAAAAATAGACCCAAGCAAACAACAATTAACTGAGAAACCACTTTCATTCAACAATTTTATTTCTATGAAATTTTAAGAGGTGTTTTTCGTTAGGACCTCTGAACAGGTTGTGCAGCGCTGCGCCCAGTCCATCTATGGAAATCTAGGAAGTCCCACAGACAAAAAGCATGAAGTTATTACTATTAGATAATGTGTAGCACCCTGCTTCGGTTTGGGCACCCGGGCAGTATCACAGCCCTCACACATATCGAATGAGATTTGTGTGGCGCATATGTATTTGGTGCCTCCTTGTACCAATGTCTTTGTGTTAAAATAATAATAAAAATAATAATAATGTGTAGCACTTAACAAGGCAACAGTTTGAGGATGATGATAGTGAACACATTTTACTAAGCAAGAGATGTTTAAGATGCGACATGACCATCAGTTGAAAAGGTTAGGTTATCTGTAGAGTTAGATAATTTTGTCGACTAAACAACTAGCAAGCTTAATTTTAAACCGGTAAATTTACCTCAAACGATGAGCCTCATTTAACATTCCAAATGTCAACTTCTGTGTAAACAAATCTAATATACTTTGAGGTAGGCTGGCAAGAAGAGATCGAGTTTCCCCAATAAGTACAACACCTGAGTTGACCATATCTGAAATCATTAAAAATGTCACACATGCATTAAATCCAAGGCAAAATAGATTCCTGTATAATATCATTTAATATATGAAAACAATGACGACAACAAGTAATGTAACGTGACAACGATATAGCGAGTTGTGTGTGACTTTGAAAAAGTGAAACAAATATCATATGATGGCAAACATTGACATCAAACGTGGTTTTGAACCAAGCAGTTGACAGTCCAGCCTCTAAAATACCACACCATAAGACTACATGAATTATAGATCGGTGGTAATGCCACGAGTTTATAAATAACCCAAATAACCGTGTTATTTCATTGTTTACATGACAATTAGGCTTCGAACTGTCAAGAAGCTATTTTCTCCGGACACTACTTTACTTGACAAGTCTCTAAATCAAAACATGGTTGAACAGGAACGTAATTACATTCCAAGTAACAAGGTAGAATAGGAGTAAAGGCCATCTCTAAAATCACTTCAATGATCTCTTTCCATTTTGATCTTCTCGGAGCATTTTTAAGTATACCAACTAAGCGTTTGATTTGGCTATCGATTCACAAATAGAATGGTGTTCGGATACAAATGATTCCGTTCCGTTGACAAAATTTTGCGAAGGTAGTAGATGTAAACCATGTCTTATTATCGCTGACTACTAACTCAGGAACCCCGAAACAACTGAACGGTTAATGTAGTTTTCTGACTGCGTAGATGGCAGTCGGTTGTTCCATGAGAAGAATTTCTGACCACTCGCTGTGTGCATCAACTAGCAAAAGGTAAGTTTGTCCATGGAGTGGACCAGAGAAGTCTAAGTGCTTACGCTGCCACGGTGACTGTAGTGTTGGCCATGATTGCAGATCTGTATTCTGCGGTGCTTTTGTTGCTAATGTCCATCCGTTACATGAACGTGAAAGCTGCTACAGTTGGGTGTTTAAGTGAGGCCAATATACAAAACTTTGTTCTACGCTCTTATGAGATTTATTCCAGGGTGTCCTGCATGCAGTTGTTCAAGCACTGTTGGTTGCAAATTCCTTGGGACTATAACACGTTTTTCAAATAGAACTCAATGATGATTGACGTAGTCTGCGCCTTTGAGGTTCCATGGAGCTGATCTTCGAGGGGGATCCTTTTAGGTGGAACTTTTTAACTTGTAGCACTGGGTCACGAAGAGATTTTTCCCTGACTTTATCAGATGACACGAGTGTTTCGAATGTATTCGATACTACACACTTTACTTCTGAATCTACATCTATGAAAGCAATGATCATGTCCTTTGGTTTAGGTTGTTGAACGCCAATGAACTGCGAGAGGACATCGAACTAACCGATGATATTTGTCTCGACGGTAGCTGCTACCTTGACGTGGTGCTCAGGCTAGCCTATTGTGACGACTCAACCGAGTTAGATTGGCCAGAACACATGTTCCTTCAGGTCGTACCATGCCAAATAGGTCAGTTGGAGAACGTTAATACTAAACTCAGCAACTTGAGGCCCGAGGGTGAAGTCGTACCAATGACTGTAGAGGGGTGTGACAACAGTAAGGTGTTTCTTCTAAACAACCAGCATCTGCAGCCATGCTGCCTTCTCACAACAGAAAGAAGTTGGAAAGGGCCAACCCTAAAAATATTACACCTTACCTTACTCCACGCATTTCCGTCTGCGGCGGTAGGGCTTTTTGAAGTGTGGAGTCAAAATCTTTTCATGAAAAGGCTGTGCGCGGTCCCAAGCAGTTGTCCCTTGGGTCCTGTAGTCACGCTCCCAGGTCTCTAAGACCACAACCAATCCAACTTTTTTAGGTCCCCCAAGAACACATCCTTCTACGGCGTTGGCAATCGGGAAGAGAAATTCTCATTCATATCTCTATCAGCATTTGAGAGCATCTGGTTGACGATCGAATTCATCACTCACCTCTAAATAATTCTTTCACCTCCACAACTAATTCTTCTCATCTATCTTTATTACAACCCGCAACCAATGCTAGTGATTTGGGTTCGCGAAATGTTATTTCTGGTCTCCAGTAACTCCATTCTAAACATGTTGGAGCTATTCATGTTCAGATAAGACAGCAGGCCTTTTTAGCTAGGAATCTAGAATCTCGAGCCATTTATGTATGCTGAGTTTCCGAAACGCGCGTACAAGATCGAGGTATGGTCATTCATTTAACTTCACCTCGTCAATATAAAGAACCGACACGATTTACCCTTCGAGTATCTGAAGACCCCACTGCCACTCCTCGCTAATGTAGGTACAACATGAAATCTCGAGGCAGAACAGTCCCTGTTAAACTGGATTCCAATAGACAGTTGCTTGTTTGCTGTTCGACGAAACGAGACAGTAAAATAGGGACACACTCCGTTGCCTATTCCTTGTCCTTCCTTGCCTACGCTCCCACCAAATGCAACTCAGATGAAGTTAAAGATGGATTTTATACGAAGCTATCCAAAATCATGCCTTTCAGTCTTAACCAAGTCTACTACCTGCTGATATTAGATTTCATTTTAATTGTTATTTTATCAGTCATATAAAAAACCTGAGAGTCAGTCAGTCAGTAAGCTACAACGTAGGACCAGGCACATATATGCATCGGTCCAAGTTGCCATACCTCATTAACACAACAAGATGAACACGAAATTCATAAAAGTAGTTAATTCAGAAGTGGTAATATATAAAAGAATGATTGCGTATAAGGATATAATACAGGAAGAAAGAATTAGTTCGTAGAAAGAAAGATATGAAGCGACGTTAATCTCTTAGTTTAAAGGAAGAAAGAGTGTATACACCGACGCCATTGTGATCGATTCTGAGCGCTGTCACCATGAGTCTCCAACCATTGATTACGATAGTCACGCGGACCCCAACTGAGTAGTCTGCATCTACCAACATGACTCAGACTAGGAGTTAGTGACTTCAAGCACTGATGCCCTAACTTTCTTCCAACCGTCCCGAACACGGTTAGCACAGCACATCGTGGTAATCGGTGTTCAGGCATACGTAACACGTGGCCCAACCATCTCAATCGATGAAGATTCACAACCTTATCGACTGATTTACTATCGTTCCCTAATACCATGCATCTAACCTCACTATTACTTACCCGATGATCCCAGCAGACGCCAGCAATATTTCTAAGACTTCTGTGGTCAAATACTAGTAGCTTACGAGTATCCTCTACTCTTAATGGCCATGTTTCGCTACCGTAAATTAAAACAGAACGGATTGCCACGCAGTATACTCGTCCTTTTATTGATAGACGGATAACTCGCCTTCGTCATAGGTGACGTAAGTTGGCAAAAGCCAAACGAACTTATCGAATCCGTGCTGAGATTTCGTCAGACACCAGCCCAATAGGGCTGATCAGACTTCCAAGATAAGTGAAGTTGTCAACGCGTTCGACTACTTCGCTCCCCATCCTTAGTTCAGGTGTTGACGCAGGCCAGTCCTGAAGCAACAACTTGCATTTAGAGGGAGAGAAGCGCATTCCAAACATTCTGGCATTGTTGCTTAGTGCTACCAGAAGACTCTGCATTTTGTCAGCGTCTTCACCAAACAGGACTATATCATCTGCGTATTCTAAGTCGATAAGTGGACCTCCTGGAAGGAAATCAATACCCGAGAATTCAGTCGACGAGAATGTTATTTCCATCAATAGGTCGACGATGAAGTTAAACAAAAATGGAGAAAGTGGACAGCCTTGACGAACACCACTTGAGGTTGCAAAAGTAGATGACAGTTCACCATAAGCTCTGACTCGACTAGTAGTGTTCGAGTAAAGAGCCTTCACAAGGTTTATGTACTTCTAAGGTACGCCTTTCAATGACAGACACTGCCACAGAATCTCGCGGTCTACCGAGTCAAATGCTGCTTTTAAGTCAAGAAAGACCACCATTGTCGGACGCCGATAAGTATGCCTGTGTTCTAGAATCTGACGAATGGTGAATATGTGTTCGATGGAGCCACGACCAGGTCTGAAGCCAGCTTGGTTCTCTCGTGTTTGCAGTTCACGAGTCTTAGTTAGGCGTCTGATAATTATCGAGGCTAGTATTTTAGATACTATATTAGTTAGACTAATCCCTCTATGGTTGTCACAGGACCCGACAGTTGTTGCTACCTTGACGTGGTGGTCGGGGTTGCCTATCGTGATGAAGCAACCGAGCTATACTGGCTGGAACAACCGTTCCTCAAGGTCCTACCATATTAGACAGGTCGGTTGAAGAGCGGTGAGACTAAAAGCAACAAACCCAAGGTTCGAAGGCGAAGTCGTACTGTTGACTGTACAGAGGTGTGACAGCAGTAAGGTGTTTCCTTCAGACAACCAGCATGAAAGCGATGCTGCCTTCCCGCAAGGAGGGGTGGGGTTAGAAAAGGTCGAATCTAAAAATGCACACCTTGCCTTATCCCGCGGATATCTGTCTGCGATGGTAAGGTCTCGACAAGTACGGAGCTAACACGAAGATTACCCACAAAAAGGTCGTGTGTGACCGACCTCAAGCAGTTGTCTCTTGGGCATTGCGGTCACGCTCCCAGGTCATTAAGATCACCTCTAATCCAATTTCTTTTTCAGGTACCTCCGGAAGAACCCCTCCACGGTGTGGGCGACCGGGAAGTGATAACCGTCCTCATACCTCTAACAGCACTCAAGACCAGTGTATTCATAATCTGTCTATCAGACAGAGGAAGAGTTTGCTGTGCAGCAGTCCGTTCTATTTATGGGTGTGGAACATGGTCATTAAGAATGGGCAATTTTCGGAGATTCTTCGAAGCATTACTCATGTATTTTGGGACCAACTAGTAAGCAATCCCTGTGTTAGCAAAAAGGTTCTAAGTAAGGATGGCAAATCGATTGGCGAGGTAGTAAATCTTTATCGATTGAGATGGTTAAGATATGTTACGTATGCCCAACCGCAGTCTAACTCGACGGGCAATGTTTTCTGGGGCAAGAGTAGGCTGGAAGAAAGTTAGGTACAGTCAAACCAGAACATGGCATCAGTTCATGAAGTCACTGACAATTATATTAGGCCATATTAATAGGTACAGACTGCCTGGTTGGGATCCGCGTGATTATCGTTACCAACAGTTTTAATGGAATGGATCAAAATCGTTTGCAATGGCACAGGTGCATTCATACTTTGTCTTCTCCAAATCCTGAGATTTTAAATCCTTCGAATTCTTTTTTGTCTTTATTTCGTTAACTTATATTTTGTTTCCGAGTCGCATCTTCGATACCCAATCTTTTCAATTATTGGTAATACTGTTGATAACTCTACTACTCTGGAATTCGGCCTGATAACTTCATCTTTCTATAACAATTGGTATGGCAACTTAAACTGATGTATATACGTACAGGTTCTACGTTGTGACTGACTGGCTGGTATTTGTTAACTGATACTTGATGTTAAAGTCATAGCTCAGGAGCATTTTCGACCCGTGCAGTAATCTGCTAGTCGTATAGACAAGAATTCCTTTCTTAGAAACAAAAGTTGAAATTAAAGGTTTTTGATCCGTCAGTACAGTAAACTTACGGCCGCAGAGCGTTTTATGGAATCTGTTAATAGCGTATATCACTGTAAGGGCTTCCTTTTCAATTTGCCTGTAGTTCCACTCGGCTGTGGTGAATGATCTAGCAGCATGAGTAATTGTTTTATCTGATTTGTCTGGGAACAAGTGAGGTATCACTACCCCAACTCCACGACTAGACGTATCAGATGCAACAGCAATTTCCAAGCTGAGGTTGATATGTGTTTCTTCATGTAGTTGGGGTCAATACCCCATCACTCGGTTAAGAACTTGATGCAGTCGATTTGATAGTTCACTGTCAGTTGAACCCATATCAATGTCACCTAGATAAGCTGCTGTTCCAGGTATACCTGTTTACACTGTATCCACTGTTTGCTGAAATATGGCAGGTGCGGTCATAATACCAAATTGTAGGCGGGTATATTGAAATAGCCCGCGATGATTGTTGATAATCGAAAGCAGTATACAATCATCATTTACTTCTTCTTTCAGACAGGCGTCAGAAGAGTCTATTTTCGAGAAACATGTTCCACTGTTTATGCATAACAAACTGGTCATCAGGAACTGGTAACGAATACTGACACATGTGTATAGCTTGATTGGCCTTCTTAAGCACTACGACCGCTGCGGTCCATGAACAGTAGTTGACTGGTTGGATTATACCAGTTTGCTGTAAACGTTTAAGTTCCTGATCGACCAGTTCAAGAACAGAATTCGGTGCAGGACTTTTTGGGAAAAATTTGGGTTTGGCATCTGGTTTTACAGGTAATTGGACTTTTATTTTGGCTCAGTGATCAGGGCTATTCTGAAGAACAGAAGGAAATTTTCTCCTGAGCTTTTCTAGCAACCACTTACCTACCTTTTTGCAAATATTTGGCTGTCCAATAATGGACACAACACGTTGCAGACACTATTAATAGTTATCTTTATACTTAACTACAACCCCAAAAGTGTGGACGTGGTGAACCATGTGACAAACAGCTAACATAGATAAATTTAACGGCAGTGGAAACCTTATATACATGTAACTCATACTATTCAAGGGTCCGTTGGTCATTATGAACAATTAAAGGGCATAAATCAACATAAGGAATAGCACAGTATATTGATACCTTTAAGCAATTGACTTTTTAGAAGGCAGGTGAGACGGAACGTCCCAACAGGGGAGGAATGTTTCTCCATACTTTCAATATCATCCAAATGTAAAATACATGGTGAGGAATTCTAATCGGATTTCAATTAAGGAACTAATTGTACCTTAGCTTGGTTGAATATATCCATCCAAGGACGTATAGATGATGGTACTGTACCAACCGAAACAGTGATGATTTTTAAACCTAAAGTCTGCAATTATTCAAAAAGAAAACATTTTGTGATTACTCCACATGCTGCTTCAATCAATGTAGTTTTGCCGCAAAATGGGGGACCATTAATCAACAAAGATGGCCAAACCGGTAATCCTATATCGGAAAGTAGGTGGCATGCGAGAAAGCCTTTTATTTGCCTCTAAAATATTTGTAGAAAAATATAAACTACTTACTCGTAAATCCGCTGGAACTGTGTGTCTGATATCCGATAACGTTGAAGAAACACATCGAGCAGAAATAGATTCAGCTAAATGTAGGAGTCAAATCTATACATATGTTTACTTGTTGATTCCAAGTTCGTCCTGGAACGTTTACGTGGAAGCTTTCTGTCTAAATCTACTGACATATCTAATTTAGGAAACTCAGATTCGTCAGCCATGATGGGTGAATCTTTTGGAACAGGACTGACCATCGTGCGAGTATTCACTAGTCTTAATGCTAAGCAAGATAAAAAAGCATAAACGTATACCTTTGCAAGCATCTTTGCGCCATAACTTCATATTAGATCTATTACAACTTGTTGACTTGTCTCGAATTATGTAATCTGAAAACTCATCCACAGATGAAGAGTCAACAGAAATCTTTACAAACTATAGGACAATAAACCAGGATTTGCCAAAATATACCTGTTCAGCAAGTGGAATTAGATACGTCCGTTGGATTTGTGGAGAACCATATCCACATCCTGTATCGTTCATAATGTAGGCTCTATATGAACAATAAGAGTTTTAATTCCCCAGTACAGAAAACAATGACTTATTGTTTACTCGAAAAGGAACCCAAAATAACAAAAAACGCTCAACAATTGCTAGTGACTTTTTTGCTGAGTAATTTCATCAGAATCCTAGTTAATATTTTGAAACCATGGTGACATAAACCTAACACATCTTAAAAACCAAGAAATATTTTGCTTAAAAATCCTCAATTAGACCAAAAAGCTTCGACATCATGGAAGCCTGACAGGCAAAAACTACATTACATTTTGTTTAATCAGAGGATAAAAATATTTTCATCACCCATATGGACGACGGTGCTCAGCACGCTAAATGAAATAGCATGAAGAAATTGTGTTCTCTCTAATTCTAGTCTTCTTAATTCTCCATGTTCCTTTTTTCCTCTTTCCAAATTTATTTCACTGGATTATACTCCTAGAATAACATTTTCAAACCCTAATCTTTCCGATTACTGTTTGTACTCTTACTACTTCTACCACTATGAGATTTGAACCGACAAATGCACCTCTGTGCTAATGTGGTATGGCAACTTTAACTGATGTACGTATGTACGAAGTTACACGTTACATACGTAACTTCTGAATGCACATCGTATATTTAATTTGTGTTTTGCCTGAACAATAATTCCAGGAAGTCGTAAGTTCCACTGTTTTCTTCTTAAATCAAAGCCTACTAACGACGAAGGCTACAGTGTAAACTCATTGCGAGTAGGACTATATATAGTCAGTTCATTTATAACTAAAACAAAAGATTTGACTGAGAGAATGAACCAATCACTAAACGTTCACCATTAAGAACCCGTAAGCAGTGCATGGACATTTTGTGGTACTAAGGGACGAAACAACAATCTCCGCAACCCTATGTCGATCTGTATAGGGATGTCAATAATGACGATTTGACTATCAGAATAATTGCTGCGAGCGGTAAAAACAGATTACGATGAAGTAGCAACACAAAAGCATCAATATTTGATACCATGAAGGATATGAATTTACTTAAAGATCTAACTTTACAGGAATTCACCAATCCACTATTCATACTGTACACAGAAACGACAACTAACCTTCAAATCATGCAAGAATTTGAATTAAACGAAGGTCATTCAGACTACAAACATCAAACATAGCTAAATTCAAATGGTTCAAATGGTTGTGGACGGAATAGAAGAAGCTTTCGCTTAACAGGCTTCCGTGTCTAGTAGCAGGGGATCACCAAATCCTCCAGGCAGGAACCTAGGTATGTTAACAATAAAAGAGGAAAAGAAATTGGTAAATCATAATGTGATGCTGTCCTTGGTCCTTAAGAATAGGTCAAGTTGCCTCTTGAAGGACTCCTGAGAAGTCGCTTGGACTAGCTCGGCCAGCAGCGAATTCCAGCTTTTGACAACTCTTAAGGAGTAGAAGTTGTGTCTACATTCCGTCTTGCTATGTTGTGTTTCCAGTTTCTGGGTGTTACCCCTTAGGTTATTATTCGAACTAAGCTTAAGTAGGTGTTTAAGAGGATGTCCAGAAGTGTTAAGAATACTATAAGCCATTAGTAAATCACCTCTAAGACGCCTATATTCTAGTGGGTAAAGGTCTAGTGAACGGAGGCGTTCTTCGTAAGGCTTAGATTTGAGTCCTCGAACTGATTTCGTGGCTCGCCGTTGGATACGCTCCAAAGTGACCTTGTCCTTTTGGAGTGAGGGGGGAGTACTATGTTTCCGTACTCTAAATGGGGACGGATGAAACTATTGAAGGTTGTATGGAAAGTTCGTCCGTCAAACTGTCCAAAAATGCGCTTCAACGTTACTAGTGCAAGGTTTGCTCGGAAGGCATGTAGATGTTACATTTAATTCTTGCTCATACGGGATGGAAAAATTTTCTTTATGCCACATCGCTTTATAAATCGATAGTTCAATCAATTAGCTATTAAAAATTGGAGTGATGAGGGGATAACAATTTGAATAACATTAAACTCCGAAGTTGAAAGATATTAGCTAACAGTTATCAGATATTTTAGTGGCGGATACTTCCCAGCATACTTGTATACCAGTTACTTTGAGGTTTTATTTTACGATTAGACAGTCTGTTTATTCTACTTAGCGTTGTTTCAGAAAGGTCGTTTTCTACGGGACGGGGTTCCAGACCCCATGATAAAATCTCCTTCTTTACCCGGGCTTACAACTGGTAGTAGCCTCAGAAATGCTATAGGCGACTAGACTGCACCAGTGGTCGATTGGGATGATTATCTGTTATCCCTAAATGCACCAAAATATATGCCACAGATATTTTGGACATTACAACGCTTTTTGCGTGACAACTTTACAACCACAGATCACAAACACAATAAAAACAGAATTCGGTAACGGACGAGCTTAAACATATAACACACATATCACGCTCTCGACAGTTTTACAAGTAATATCCTTTGTCTCTACCTACCCTTACGTTCAAATAAACTGTCACCACAAACGTCAACGCCTTCTTCTTTAGTTACCTTTAAGGTGATATTCGTATTGAGTCTCTCAACTATTATCAACCGATTTTCTCGTATCTGCAAAAGATAAGTGATCTGTGGTATCTAGAACTATGTTAAGCCTACATGTGTTTTTTTTCATCCGTACAAACCATTTTGTTTATTCATCTGTTGTCACAAATTATATATCTAGACCGATTAACATAGTTGAATAATATGTCTTATTGTTTGAAAATCAATCTAAAATATATTTTTGGACGAGGTGAAGCAGATTTCTTGTGTTTCTGTGTTTTTTAATTTGTCAGTTAGTATGATAGAAGCATATATCGTAGACACTTTGTGGCTCACAGAAAGAATATTAGTTTTTTTTAATATGAATAACTGTAAAAAATGTAGGTTTCAAGAAGTTCTAGAGCGAGTTACTCAAAACACAGTTCATCACAGTAAGTATTCGTATGAAAATGCTGTTGGTATAATTTGTACACTCAGATTGATGGAAAAATTAAAAACAAGGATATTGAAATGACAACTTAAAAATTTGGTGAGTTAGGATCACAGTGAAATAAGAGATGAGATATTTATTTTTCAAACACAGAGATCAGGATTGAACTAATAAGTTGCTAATATTTATGATATAGACACACTCTCTTAGAGTCAGTTTGCTTGGCGCTATCAAATAGTTAGAGTACTAATTCTAGATGGTATGGATGATATGAACTGAGCAGGTGCCCTGAAGTGAAGCTGTTGAATATCTTTACTTCGCTTTCGGACAACGAAGAAGAGTATTGATCACTTATAAGTTTGGAAAGACCGCTCTTATTGAAGACAACGTTGTCTGTTCAGAAGGAGCTAGTGAACAAGTAGTCACGGATAGAGACTCATCGTCATTATTTATCTTTTACACAACCTCAGATTAAGCTATAACCCCATTATTATTTCACAAATGCTATAAACACCTGCTTTTTCTCCTGTTTATTTTACAATCTTCATGTAAGCAACTATCTTTTACATCTTACTTCCATGTATTATTCTGACTTTATTATTGAACCTTCAACTATTACAAAATTTGAACCTGATGGCCGAAAAAGTAGAAGTATTGATAAAGTTGTAGTAATTTAGTTAATGATTCAAGACCCTTTAACTTTGTTATAGTCTACTATATATACAGCAACTGTAATTACAATTGTACAAATTTGGTAAACAAAAGAAAAATTTCCTTACTGAACTGTTTTTTATATTCTAAACTAATACGATAGAATATTTTAATATAGATGTAAGATTCAAGTAGAATATAAAAAAGCGTACAAATACTTATGTTCAGTTGGATGTGTTTCTCTTATATTATAAGTATACTAAGAAGCAAGATTATATTTGAAAAATATACTTTCCATTTTCTACCACCCCAATTATATTAATCTTAAGAGAATGACTTGTATTTATTTTTTTTAATTCAAGGGTTATCATTAACTAATAATAGAACTGTCTCATTACCAATTAAGAAAAAAGAAAAAGAAAACTGTATTTAACAATCAATATATAATCTATTTTTAATCTTGTCAATCATGTTTTATTATTCCTATTCAATGTATGGAATTTATAGTAAGCTAAGCAGCCTATATGTTGATCTGATTAGATACTAAATAATGATCCATATGTTTACATTAATTTCACATAATAATAATAATAATAATAATAATAATAATAATAATAATAATAATGACAGTTTAAGGCAATTTTTAATTTAATTTTAAGACTTGACAAATTTATTTTTGATTGGTTAATAATATGATGATATGAGTTTATCTATTCATCATTGAATATTTAATCGCCTACATAATCAAATCAAGTCTGATATAATTTGAAAAGATTGACATTAAAATTAAGGTATACAATAAATGATTTTAATTGTTTAAATAATAGTCAAAGAAATTTTATTTTTGTCGATATGATCCAGAACAATGTACAATTATGAATAGTGACTAATATGATTAGATTTATTAAATTAATGGTAAATTTAGTTTATATTTTTGTAATTTATAATAGTTAGTTTTATTACATGGGTTACTTACATCATCTTCATATAATTTAAAAGGTATAGCTTTGGAAAAAGTGAGAGATGAAAACAGTCGATATCCTCTTATACTAATACATGGAATTGGTGGAACACAAGCATTATGTAAACCAACTGACAAACAATCACATACGAAACCATTTACACTTTGGGTTAAGTTACTTTATTTTTTGATCCCGGAAAAATTATTCACTTATATGGGGTAAAATAAATTATCATATAATATTTTCTATTTATATAAAACAGATTAATTTATGATCCGAAGACAAAAAAAACGAGAGACAGAGAGTTGTGTAATGTTGAATTCCCTGGTTGGGGTGATACATGGGCTAGTGAATATTTATCTGAAGAAAAATATCCATTAACAAGTTATATGAAGTCACTTGTTCAAAGTTTAACAGAGGACAAATTTTTTGTGCGAAATAAAACATTACGT